TGAGTATCATCAGCGTACTGATGGAAATCCACCCCAAAGCCACGGATGATCTCACCCAGCGGCTTCACATAAATATTGAACAGTAGGGGGGAGAGGACCGACCCCTGTGGCACCCCACAAGTTAGGGGCCTTGGGGTCGACCTCTGTCCCCCTGCCAATACAGACTGCGTACGGTCAGTGAGGAAGGAGGAGAACCACCGCATAACGGTGCCTCCCACTCCCAACTCCACCAGGCGCCGCAGCATGATACCGTGGTCCACAGTATCAAAAGCAGCTGCGAGGTCCAAAAGAACTAGGACAGAGGAATAACCCCTGTCCCGGGCCCTCCAGAGATCATTCACCAGTGTGACCAATGCCGTTTCCGTGCTGTATCCCGGCCTGAAGCCCGACTGGAGCGGGTCTAGATAGACTGTTTCCTCCAGGTGCCGAGGGAATTGCTGCGCAACCACACTCTCAACAACCTTCGCCACAAAGCGAAGGTTGGAGACCGGGCGATAATTAGCCAATACATCTGGGTCCAGGGAAGGCTTCTTAAGGAGGGGCCTCACCACCGCTTCCTTCAAGGCTACGGGGAAGACACCCTCCCATAGAGAAGCGTTTATAATTCCCTGGAGCCAGGCTCGTGTACCCTCCCGGGCAGCCAGTACCAGCCAGGAGGGGCATGGATCCAATAAACATGTGGTTGCATTCAGCCTCCCCAGGATCCTGTCCACGTCCTCGGGAGCCACAGAGTCAAACTCCCGTCTCCTCCCCCGGGGCCACCCAGTCGGAGTCAAGACCTTCTCGTATCAGAGCGACTTTGTCATGCAGATATTGAGCAAAATCCTCAGCCCTCCCCTCCAGGGGATCCTCCCCCCCCTCAACTGAAGGAGGGAGCGGGTCACCCTGAAGAGGGTGGCCGGGCGATTATCTGATGATGCAATGAGGGTGGAGTAGTAATTAGACCTCGCCACCCTCATCGCCACTAGGTAGGATCTAACCTGCATCCTTGCCTGTGCTCAATTGGATTCGATTCGGCTAGCCCTCCAACTGCTCTCTAGGCGTCTTTTCCGGCGCTTCATCTCTCTCAGCTCCTTGGTAAACCAGGGAGCCAGTTGAGATCTGCGCCGGGTCAGAGGCCGCAAAGGCACGACTCGGTCCAGTGCTGCGGCAGCGGCCACATCCCAGGCCGCCGCCAGATTTTCAGCCGAGTCGTGAACTAGAACAATGTTAATATGTTCCTCCAAATACCTTAATATGAATTATAGAGTTGGAAGGGACTGAAGTTGGAAGGGACTGAAGAGATGATCTAGTCCATCTCTTCAGTGCAGGATTTAGCACATCCCTGAGTCCGTGCTGTACTCTGAGACAGAACAACAACAAAGGCTGATGCCCTTTGTGCTACTCTCGTTGGAAAGTACTATTCTTACTCAGCAATGAAAAAAACCTCTGGTGCTGTCCTCAGAAATGTAAACTTAATGAATATAGGGGAGACAATAGGGTCTAGTGGCTAAACAACAGCTAGAAACCCAAAGACTGAGACCTGAGAGTCGGGTGGGTGACTTTCGGCCAGTCACTTTCTCAGCCCCTGGAGACAAGCTCAGGAGACAAGCCAGTTAATCAACTCTTGTCACAACTAATGGGTCAACACTTGGTTGATCTGTAAAAAGCAAACCCTGCACTTGCAGGAAAATGCTAGGAAGGGCAAAAAACAACTTAATGAAGATGTTAAGTGGATTTTTCTGGTGTTATCAACCATCACCCTTCCTAACGGAAGAAATAAGTTTTGACAGAGAACTAAATCCAGGGTTGTAATCATCTGTCAAAACCTGTTCCCAATATATGACTAACAAATGTATAGTAGAGGACCTATTTCTGCTTAGTAAAGCAGTCAATGTCCTCGTCCTTTATTAAATAGCATTTATCCATCCCAGATGTGGATGATTTACAGCAGTGTTTTCCAGCCTTGGCAGCTTGACAACTGGCTGGGGAATTCTGGGAGTTGAAGTCCATACTTCTTCAAGCTGCCAAGGCTGGGAAACAGTGATCTACAGAGTCAGTAAAATAGGAGACTTTTCTTCTCTTGCTTTTCCAGGAACTAATGGATGACCAGCAGTGTTCGACCTGTAGGACCGGTGGGTGCTTCCCAGGAGATAGTAGATATTCTGCACAGACCCTGTTTTTAAATACAGATCTGTGGGACAGATCAAGGCTGTTTTTAAAAATAGCTCCCTCCACTTATTTTACCAACCCAAATGATCGGTGAGACATGTCTCTGTGTGCCTATGTCAAAGCAGGAACAGCTAAATAGGCTGTCTCTCTGGTGGGCTGAGGATGACCCAAAAGCAATGTTCTCGCTGATGTGATGTACAAAGATAATTATCAGGGCATTTTCATGCCATGAGGGGCTAGCAGGATGTGAAGATAAAACCATAGTCATTCTTTTTCATTACATTTGCTTCCTTGTTCAATTTTCTTCTAAAGAGTTGCTTTCCTTCGCAGCTCCTATTAGTGCCTCCTTTTATGTATCTGATACAGCTTCATCTTCTCTCATCAGTTGAAGTATGGCTATGCTTCTGTCCTCGGGCTTTTTTTTTTTTTTCAAGTCACTTATGAGTTGCTACAGATATACGCCAGGAATACAAACAAACCACAAGTATGGCAGGTCACAACTGCAGACTCTTGCCCATCTGCCCCAAGGCTTGTTTTTAAAGACCATAGAAGCAGAAGGGTTTTTTTTGTTCCCATCTCATGTGGGATGGGAAAGTGTGGATTGAATTTAGACATAATGTTTTTTAAAAAAATAAATATCCCCTGAGCTTCCCTGTTGAACTTCACAGATGGCTTTCCCGGTTCACTTTGCTACACAGTTACCTGGCACAGAACTGTAGACGGTTAGATTCTGCCCATTATGCTCCCTCAGCCAATGCCAGGAGTGTCCACAGGGTATGGTTAAAAAAAAAATCAAGACGGCAACTGCAACAGTGCAATCAAAGCATTGTCCATTTTTGTATTGATGCACATTAAAAATGGGCAGAGCTTTGATTGCACCTCTGTGATTGCCATCCTGAGAGGTTATTTTTTTTATTCTACCCTTGCTGCGTTCACTTTCTCTCCACCCCTCTCATTCACCCACTGTTCCACTTCCATTTTTTCTCCATCACATTTTCAGCTGCTTTCTCTCAAATTCACCTCCCTCCTTGTCTGTCTGTCTCTCCAGTCCTACCTTTATTTCCCTTTCTCCTTCTCCAGTCTCTTGACAATCCTTTCCACTCTACTTTTCCAGTGGTTCTTGGGCATTAATACCCTCTTTTCCCACTTTTCCTGTTTCCAGCTGCTCCCCTTCAAATATTTGCCACACTAGTTAATGGATTCTTCACACAGCCCCTCCTCCCAAAAAGTGAAAGCGTTCCACTTCACTTTGGCACCTTTCTAACAAGGTTGGTAAAGAATGTTAGCCTAGCAGCCTAGCTTATCTTACAAAACAGCAGGATAGCAACCCTGCTTTTGTTCTGTTTTGTTTTTACTCACATGGATGCACTCAGGTTGGGCAGGCTATAAACAAGTACACAAAAACAGGATGACTTTGTCTTCTTCCATGTCTCAACTCCAGGAAAGCCATCATTATAGTGTCTGATATTTTTTTTCTAAGAATGACCTTTGAAAAATTCTGGACACTGTTAATAGCCTCTGACTTTGCCAACCAGATTGAACAAGCCAAGCTGTACTGTCTATTTCAAAGACATTTTCTTTCATCACAGATAAAATTAAATATTAACAAAAATTCATATAGAACATTTGCATGTTATTACCTGGAAATGGAACAATCCCTTTCCATAGAATTTTCTGCAACCAGAATTCCTGGTAGTTGTTTCGGAATTTGTATAACAACTTTATTGGTAGAATAAATATACTACAAATAGAATAATCACAAAAAATGAATAAAATTGTCCTCTACATTTTTCAGTTAATAAGAAAACATATATCTTGTCTCAACAGTATGGTAACACGTGATATTTAACAAGGATGTAACTATAAACTTGAAAATGTTTATAGTTACAAGGATGTTTTTACAAGGATGTGTTTTTACAAGGATGTAACTATAAACTTGAAAATGAGGCTCAAACAAGCATTGACTTTAATTGATGTCTCTTATCTAATTATAACTTTAATTCTTTAAATATTTCTATATTGCTTGCCTTACAAAACATACCCATGCAGGAAACAGCATCTCTTATGTTTCCCTATAACCATTTATTAGAATAGATATAGGAACAGTTAATCACATTCAGTAGAGCCTGCATATAGTCATCCAATAAGATGACAAAAAAGAGAAATGCTCTATGTTAAAATACCTTTTCTTCCACCTGCTACAATTAGAGCCCATTAAGATGAGATGTGGTAGAAGTTGACAATGGCTAGACAGACTTCAGGTAACATTGAGCTTTGTTTGAGAACTGCTTCAGGTTATGAGGGGTCTTATGAGTGGCTAATCCAGAAATGAAAAAGTAGAGTTGCATAGAACAATGTTCTTTGTCCATAAATGTCTAACTTGCTGTAGATTTTTTTTATAGCAGGAAGGAAACTATATATATATAATATCTCTTTTCTGTCACAGTTACATTTACAGGGCTGTATATCTTAGGGATCCTATTAAGAAAAGCGTCAGAGTCCCTTTTGGAAAGAACTGGTGAGGAAATTGATGAAGATTCCTCTCTCTCCTCCATTTCACTGCTGGGTTTCCTCTAGTGGATCATATGTTTCCAAAGTTCAAAAAAGAACACCCTGTGTTTTTGAATCCAAATTATGGGGTTTAAAGCTAATCAATTTATAAAAAATGAAACTTGCGGGCTAAAATGCATCAGGGTGGCCAATAGTCCAATCCAGTCAGGGTCAAAGAGATGCTATTGATTATTTGCAGCTAAGTGTAGCAGAAAATTGCTAAGGTCCAGCCAGCCAGCCTATGTAGCCCAGCTTTTCACTTAGACAAGTTGTATATTTGTTGAACCATGCAGTTGAGGAATAAGCATCTCTTAATAATGAGGAATAGTTGGGAGACAGAATTAGGTTTGCTGCATGTTATCTAGCTATGGTGCACCCTACTGCAAATAAAGACTCCTACAATTACAACCCCACAAATATTTGAGGAGCTTGGCTAACATCACCATCAACAGTGTTCCTTTTCCATTTTTATCGGAATGGTTTTCATCTTTTCAATGGTTTTCAGCTCTCTCCGTTGCCTTGATATTTATATGTGCATTTTTAGAACTGATTTGTTTCAAAATCCTCCTCAGATAGAAGCATGGCTGAGGAGCTACATTTTTCCTCTAAAAATAATCATTTTGTGCATTCCTTACAGCTGACATATCCCAACAGCATTCCAGAAACGAAAGCACATTTCCAACCTCACAGTGCAGAATTTCACTCCAAAGAAAAAGCCACCAATGAACCTGAACAAATTCCTTTCTATATTCCTCATCACTGCTGCGTAGATAGCTATCCAGGGGCACATAGTCAATCCCTTTCTCATGCTGATTGGGCTACCATTCCCAGTTGTCTTAAACCTGGAGTCAACCACTGTGGTACCAATGAGCAATATTTAGGAAATGAGGCAGTAAACAGTCAGCAACTGACTTCAAGATTGTTTACAAAAAACTCAGATACATCCTCCATAAACCTTGATGAAGGAGATAAAATTGCTTCGGAGCCCACCAAGGAACAGCAAGACAGATCCTTAAACAAAATTAAAAGTAAAATAATGAGGAAGTTAACTCTTTCAATGGAGCGGCAGGCCAGAGCCCGTGCTCTGAGGAATTCACAACCAGAAGAGGCAAGAATTGCTCACCAAGACCAAGGAATTCCGGGGCCAAAGAATCCGTATTTTACTAGAGATGAACACATTCCAAAGCAACCTAGTTATGTTAGGTCTCCTGAATTCTCAGATAATCTTTTGCCAGTTTGGGATCCTGAACAGAAATGTCCAAAATATGGTGATACATGTCCAAAAAGATGCATTGCTTCTCAGCCTAAACTGTCACTGAAGTTAATGGCTAATGTCATTAGAAAATCCATACGAGAAGGTTGGGAAAAAAGCCAGGATGTGCATACCAAACGTCCTCTGGAAAACACCTTTAATTTCTCTCATAACCTGGCTCAGCTTGATAATTGGAAAAATACTAAGTATCAGGAAGACTCCAGTGCACAAATGCAAGAGTTAATTATGTTGAATAATACAGAACAGGGCCTTGAACCTAGGAGTTCAGTTATCTCTAATTTGTCCAGTTCGGTTGAAGATTTTCGGTTTGATGATAAAAGCTATTTTCCAAAATATGATGTGCATCTGAGATCATCCAACAATATTCACTGTGGACATTCTTACTCTAATAAAGTTGATGTTCCCACGCTTTTAGAAAGATTTACCCTCAAAGAAAATGCTCGGAAGTCATATATTGATTATGATCAAAAGAACATGCTGCATCCATCTTTAAGGCACAAAACTAAAAGTGATAATTCTATACTAGATGATCCAGTTGAGAGGAACAAAGTGTGGAATCTATTCAGTAATTTGAGGAATAAAGAAGATGACAGCATTAAAAGCCCTTTGTTAATGCCAGCTATGTCTCCCACTACCATCTTTGATGTTGATAAAGTACTAAGTAATTCTTCCAAAGGAGAATATTTAGGTAAGCATGCTATTTAAAAATATTTTAAATTAAGGATGACATATATTACTCATTTGAAACATATACTGTATTTTATTATACTACTATACTGGGAATCCATCCTCCAATTTTCCCTGTAAAAGAGATTCTGGATTTTTAGGTCAGGATGATTTAGAACAGTGGTTCTCAACCTTTTTAATGCCGCGATCCCAACCGGTCGTAATTCGAGGACTAAACCGGTCGTAAGTCGAGGACTACCCAACCGGTCGTAAGTCGAGGACTTTCCCTGCCCGGGAGCGCCGCGCATGCGTGGTTCTGCCCCCTGCGCCGCCCGAGGCGTAGCTGGCAAGCGGCAGAGATGGAGCAGGCCGACCACCAGCTAGCCCAGCACCCGCCGGAAAAGGGGAAAAAAATGGCGGACAAAAAAAATGGCAGATAAAAAAAATGGCGGACAGCCTTGCTTGGCGACCCCCATGAAATGGTCGATCGACCCCAAATGGGGTCCCGACCCATAGGTTGAGAACCACTGCTTTAGAATGTTCTTTAAAAGAGCCGTAGTAGCACAGTGGTTAGAATGCAGTATTGCAGGCTAATTCTGACGACTGCCAGCAGTTTGATTCTCATCGGCTCAAGGTTGACTCAGCCTTCCATCCTTCCGAGGTTGGTAAAATGAGGACTCAGATTGTTGGGGGCAAAATGCTGACTCTGTAAACCCCTTAGAAAGGGCTGCAAAGCACTGTGGAGTGGTATATAAGTCTAAGTGTTATTGCTATTGCTATTTTTTTTTAATCTTCTTTAGAATACTTTTGGTGCTGCACTTGAACTTCTATTATTTTTGAAAGGAAGCAGAGGATTGGTTGGTGATCACTTTTTTCATATCTGTCCTGCATTCCATAGGTCTTCTTGGCTATCCCATCTGCTAGACTGAAACTTTCTTCATAGAAAATGTTCTTTCTCTGATGTCTTCCTTTGAAATATAATTGAAATATAGGAAGTTAGAGAGGTTTGCAGACCCATTTTATAAAGAAAATAATCAAGAGTGGTAAAATTACATGTAGAGGTCTAGCATCGCTAGCTGTCCAAAACTGTATGCTGAAAGTCAGGATACTCAAATTTACCCATCAATTACATCACATTTAAATTAAATGCAAGGATTCCATACAGGGCAACAAAAGACTTCCAGATGTTTTTCTCTTCTTTTATATTGTTTTGAAAGCACTTTCTTTTCTATGAAATTGAATGGGAATCATAAAAATGCAGACTAATGCAAAATAATGCAGAATAATATAGAAAAATCAGAGAGAGACATGAGAATTCCTAGCAATCTTTGTTAGGTAGAACATATACAGGGTAGGGCCAGATTGTGGGTTTTTTTCCAGTTCTGAAGAAGGCAAATGATTTAAATTCTTGCATTCCTTAACTACTAGGTGGGATACTCATCTACATATCTATCTAGTAATCTCATGGAATCGCTAGGTTGGGCATGGATCAGTTGTTTGTGTGTGAGGAGGAGGGGCTACTCATTCACAGGATATAGATAAAGGGACCTTTCCTATTTTTAAGCTCAGCAGTGATTGTAGCATTATGTGGTAGGACTGTAGCTGTAGTAGGAATTGCTACTGTATTCTGACCCTAATTTTTAATCTCTTCTGTTAGTATAACCTAACTCCTAACCTAGAATTCTAGCATTGTTTGAAATTCTGAAGGAATGTCAAGTACTATAAAGTTGATTACTAAGTCAAACCTATTTTGAATGTACACATAAAAAGACACTGACTACATTCTCTTTTTGGACTTTGCTCTGAAGTTTCTTTCTTTAAAGGCAAATGTGCCCCAATTTATTCTAATTTAAAATGATAATAATAATGATGATGATGATGATGATGATGATGATGATGATGTTGGAAGGGACCTTGGAGGTCATCTAGTCCAACCCCCTGCTCAGGCAGGAAACCCTATACCATTTCAGACAAATGGCTGTCCAGTTTCTTCTTAAAAACTTCCAGTGTTGGAGCATTCACAGCTTCTGGAGGCAGGTTGTTCCACTGATTAATTGTTCTAACTGTCAGGAAATTTCTCCTTAGTTCTAGGTTGCTTCTCTCTTTGGTTAGTTTCCATCCCTTGCTTCTTGTCCTGCCTTCAGGTGCTTTGGAGAATAGCTTGACTCCCTCTTCTTTTTGGCAACTCCTGAGATATTGGAACACTGCTATCATGTCCCCCCTCGTCCTTCTCTTCATTAAACTAGACATACCCAATTCCAGCAACCGTTCCTTGTATGATTTAGCCTCCAGTCCCCTAATCATCTTTGTTGCTCTTCTCTGTACTCTTTCTAGAGTCTCAACATCTTTTTTACATCGTGGTGACCAAAATGGGATGCAGTATTCCAAGTGTGGCCTTACCAAGGCATTGTAAAGTGGTATTAACACTTCATGTGATCTTGATTCTATCCCTCTGTTAATGCAGCCTACCACTGTGTTGGCTTTTTTGGCAGCTGCAGCACACTGCTGGCTCCTATTTAAGTGATTGTCCACTAGGACTCCGAGATCCCTCTCACAGTTACTACTATTGAGCAAGGTACCACCTACACCAGGCATGTCAAACTGCCGGCCCGCGGGCCGGATGCGTCACACTGAAACCACGCCCGCCCCATTGCCGGCAATGGGGGAAAAGTCACGATACGTCGCGCGACGTAATATGACATCGCGAGTTTGACATACTATACCTGTGCATTTGGTTTTTCTTGCCTAAATGTAGAACCTTACTTTTTTCACCATTGAATTTCATTTTGTTAGATAATGCCCAATGTTCAAATCTGTCAAGATCCTTCTGCATCTTAAGTCTGTCTTCTGGAGTGTTGGACTGTTTATGAACTTTGATTTTATTTCCAGGTGGATTTCATGGAATTCTTTCATGAAATTTATTTGAATGCATTTCAAAAATGACATTGTTGCAGGGAATGTCTTTTCTGAAGGATTCCTCAGTACTCCTTGCACATTTAGTAAGCCATAGGAATACAAAATATATTCTGCTACTATTTGGATAACGTATCCTTAAATATTTCTGATTCAGGGTCCTATTTAATATAACCTGTAACATGGGGCTTTGCTCTCCTTCTCAGTTGTTGTCTGGTATGTTTTTGTGTGAATTATCAAGGCATTTTCTCTTGCTATAGCTCCTGGCCCTAATAATAGGTACTGCTCTTTTATGCTCTTTTTGGCTTAAAATGCATGGTAGCAGAATAACCTGTTGAGAGCAGGGCATTGAAAAATAACCTTCCTGGATCATAACCTTCCATTGTGTGGCTAAGCCCTCCCAAACAGTGTTTTGTCTCTCCAAAACACAGCAACATCTCTGCGTGCCTCTACAACATGCATTTCTGCCATCACTTATAGCAAATTCACAGTTACTCATCTGATATTACTGTAAGCAAGAAGCCCTCAATCATCTTAAACAATGTGTCCTTGTCACTCCTGCCCTGAACATAAGTGAATCCAGGTGTTAATCATTAATCTTGCAGCAAATTAAGTGCAGCAGCAGATGTTCCTTGTGCTTCTGTTGTTTAATTTAACAGGAGGAGGGGTTACATGAATTAGACAAGTAAATTGTTAGAGAGCAGGTTCAGTTCCTGTTAAAACATCATGCTGATGACCTGGGTAACAAGTAGAGTTAGGGCATAATATTGAATTCGACTTGGTATGCAAGTTATTCCCAGAAATCCTCCTTCCTTTCCCATCGAGCTTTCTGCAGTGTTGCAATGCGTGTGCTTACAAACAGCACCTATTATTTAATACCTGCTGTGATAGAGATTGGGAGACTGAAAGAATAAGTGACATTTATTTGGATCCCATTAATGAAATATTTATGCTGCAGAAGGCTGAGTGATAAAGCCTCCATCAAGACGTCCATTTGCTTCTGATTATATTTGTGACTTCTTTAAAAATATGACCAGACATTCTGACGCCAGCTATTTTACACTGAGCAGATGTCACAGAAGAAAAATGGGTGCCAGATGCTATAAGCCACATAAGAGCAATTTGTTTAAGAGCTGGCTCAGTCTTGGCGCATTTATTTATGCCACATGGGGAGATAACGTGGCTAACTTGTGATATGCATTTTAATAACAGGCCTAATTTTTTTAATATTAGGGTGAGCCATTGTTGCACATAAAATTTGATATACTCATATTGTGAGGATGAGAGCAGGACTGCCAGGCAGTGAAGGCCTTGAACAGTAGCCAAAATTTAATTAATGTAATCAGGTTTACAAACTGTTGTTCGGGTCTAGCTTTGAGAAGCTATGAGCAGGTGCAGCATAAGCGGTTGCAGTCGGATCCTAGGAAAAGAATAAAGGCTGTGTCATTGAGACTTTTGATTCTCTTTCAGGATCTGAAGGTCTAACTGCCAGGAAACAAGCAACAATTGGCTATTGCTCATCCTCTTCTGATGGTGAGTGGGAATGTAAGCCTTCACCGCAACTCTTGGTAAGTCCCTAAAGGGCTTTTTCCCCTAGACATTTGCTGTTTTCACTTGATTACAAAAATGATCAACATTTAATGCAACCATCTATTTGTCTGTTTAATAACATGTTAAGGAATCTTAAGAGGGAAAGGGGATAATAGTTTAACCAGTCTCCCACAGAGGCAGCATGAATGACCAGCTATTTTTCTAGAGGACTCCTTAAGATAACAGATAACAGAATAACAGAGTTGAAAGGGACCTTGGAGGTCTTCTAGTCCATCCCCCTGCTCAAGCCAGAAACCCTATATACCATTTCAGACAAATAACTTTTGGTAACAGAGAAAGACTAAGATAGGCTAAACAGAGTCAATTAGGTGCAATAATAAAATAATAAATAAATTTAAATGATTAAATATGCAATAATAGTCTGTGATTTCAATTTCTTTGAAATCTTAAAAGTAACATTCCCTGGAATCCAATTTGAGTCTAGGGAACTACAAGGATGCATCCATGTAGTTTTCTAGGCAGCAGTATAGACCGTTCTTCCAGGATGCATTTTCAATTTCTTTATCTAGTTCACACAACTCTGGGGTTTCTTCTTGGAGGTCTTCCATCTAAGTCCTAACCAGGTCCAACCTTGCTTAATGTATTTTGAAAGCCAAAGTCAATTGGTAGTCACCTACTATGTATGGAAACGGTATTGAGCAACAAGTTGAAGCTACTTGGAAAATATTTACTTACTGGAGACTTTTTTTCATGCAATCTTGACAATTATAAAAAAGCAGTGGGAACTTTCACTTTCTTACCCTACAAACCTATGAATATTCCAATATGAAGGTCAACAAATTTTTGTTTTCTAGTGGCACATCTATGTTGGCGGGGGGGGGGGGAGGAAGAGATAATGCAGAGTAAATAAGGTAGTGTGTCTCATGTGGACAAAGCCAGGTTTTTTTGTCCCTTTCCAGAGTCTTGATAGGAAACAGTACCATCAATTTCAGCTCCAAAGAGTTCTAAAAAGATAGGACAAGAGGCTGTTGCCAATGCTGTCCTAATAGTATAGGTTGGCATCACCACGATGTAAAAAAGATGCTGAGATTCTAAAAAGAGTGCAGAGAAGAGCAACAAAGATGATTAGGGGACTGGAGGCTAAAACATATAAGGAACAGTTGCTGAAATTGGATATGTCTAGTTTAACGAAGAGAAGGACGAGGGGGGACATGATAGCAGTGTTCCAATATCTCAGGGGCTGTCACAAAGAAGAGGGAGTCAAGCTATTTTCCAAAGCACCTGAACGCAGGACAAGAAGCAATGGATGAAAACTAATCAAGGAGAGAAGCAACCTAGAACTAAGGAGAAACTTCCTGACAGTTAGAACAATTAACCAGTGGAACAACCTGCCCCCAGAAGCGGTGAATGCGCCAACACTGGAAGTTTTTAAGAAGAAACTGGACAGCCATTTGTCCGAAATGGTATAGGGTTTCCTGCCTGAGCAGGGGGTTGGACTAGATGACCTCCAAGGTCCCTTCCAACTTTATCATCATCATCATCATCATCATCATCATCATCAATAATAATAATATGGTGCTAAGCTTCATTCCCAGTACTGGCCATGCTGGTGGGGAGTGCTGAAAACTGCAATCTGTGAAGTCAAAAGTTTTTGTGTGAACTCCAAAGCTCCTTTCACATTGCACACCCTTTCCCGTGCTGGGCACAGGAAAAATACAAGCTAGAATATGGACAAAGGGAACAGTAAAAAAAAACATCAAGTACATGTTCAAGGCTTGGGCATTAATATTCTGTTATATAAAATTATATTAAACAGGAATAGCTTGCCTTCTGTCCACTCTGTTTGTGTGTGTGGGTGAGAGAGGGAGGGAGGGAGGGAGGAAGACAGAGTATGTATGCATGTATATACCGTACTTTCATTTCAGGGATGGTATATACTTATAAATACGAGAATGTGTGGTCTGCCTGCTGCTAAAGCTTTCTTACTATTTCTTGGAAAAATCTGGCTGGCTACTGCTTTTTGTCAATGTTTTTCATTTATCAAATATTTATGCCCAGCCCTTTTTACCGCCAGTTCTACCTACTTTTTCTCCAGGCTCTGCCAGCTCTTTGAACTTGGCTTTTCAGCATACTGCACATGACTGAATATGGCAGTTAGCCACCAAAAATATAGTTCACCCTTGTGGATTCTCCTTTTGGGCTGCTTTGAATGGCTGTAGGAAGTCTCTCTCTTTATTTAACTTAAATCAAAATAACTCCTGATAACCTGAACACAACACCTAATTTCGCAAATACTCTCCTGCATCTTATTTTACATAATTAAAGTATGAATTTACTGGTGAACTGCTGAGTCATACAAATTTAATAAATAAAGAAAAAGCTCAAGCCAGCAGAAAAATAAAGAGAACATGGCAAAGAACATTATGTGGATATACAACAGATAAAGCAGGCAACAGATGGGATGCTATGGGATATTGAAAAGAGAGAGGTACAAAAAGGAAAATAATTTAATATAATTATAAAAGAAAACATTGTATTAAACAGAGTAATGTTAGTCGGTAAAATAAATGTATTGCCAGAGGGGAGAGGGGAGTTATCTATTTATTTATTTTTAAATAAATCTAAAGATACAGTAAAGACTCAAGCTACTAGAGGAATTAAGAAACAGTGCATTACGGTGATATTTTTTTTATAAGGTCCGGAGACCTGTAGGTACCTCAGGAAAAGAAAAAAAATGTATTTCTTTTTTATTTGTTCTAGGTTTTGAACCAGTAATCTTATATTTGCTAGGCAAGTGTAATGACCACCACATCATTGATGCACTACTTATAAAAGGTTGAGCTAGAAGACATTAGAGATCAATATCAGAAAGGAAAATTTAAAGTAGCACATATGCCTGTACATGTACCTTGAAGCTTTGCCTTTTATATATATATACATCTAAGTTAGGGTTGTGTTAAATTATTTGTGTATTATGTTTTTGTGTATATGTGTAGAAGAGGGATCCCCAACTCCTGGGCCGCGGCCCATTAGGAACCAGCCGCACAAGCAGTGTCGCCCACTGCGTGCAAAGTTTCATTTGTGCATGCAGGGGATTAGATTGCGCACATGAAACCATAACCTACCACCACCACCAGTGGCAGCGGTCTGTGTAGCCCAGTGTTTCTCAACCTTGACAATTTTAAGGCATGTGGACTTCAACTCCCAGAATTCCAGCCAGCAATGCTGGCTGTGGAATTCTGGGAGTTGAAGTCCACATGCCTTAAAATTGTCAAGGTTGAGAAACACTGCTGTAGCCAGAAAGACTGGAGAATGCTGATGGAGAAAGGGAGAGAGAAAATGAGAAAGCAAGCATCATTTTAGTATAGTGATTAAAGGCACCAGACGAGAAACTGCCTTACAGTCTCAAAAGGCAGAATAGGAGTGCAATCAATATAACAGTAACAATAAGACAGAGGTTAGACACAAAATACCTGGCTGATCTTGTTTGGTTTCAGAAGCTGAGGATGGCCTGATGAATATTGAAATGAGAAACTAAGTGCCAGGATTGTAGGTTAGACTGGGAAGTTGAAAAAAACACACTGAAAATCATTTCCTTAATGCTGCCAAGAAGACAGCAAGATTGTCTCTATGAGGTTCCCAGGAACTGAGCTTGGTTCAAAGAAGACTTTATTTTATTTCACTGCAGTCATAAGAACATCTATTTCAGCAACCATCTCTCACTATTATCTGTCACAGTTGTCCATTAAGTTTCTGGAGTCTGCAATCCATCCATCTTCCACTGATTAAGCTTGTATGAAATTGGGGCAATTATTACACTGTTTTACATAGGTTATCAAGGTTTTCTCTTGAGGTCAAGTTGAATCCCTTTTTTGTTTTTAATATAATTTGAACCTCTCCTTTTAAAATACATCTATCTAAGGTTTTCCCACTTCTCTCTAGAATATGAGTAGCAACCAAGTCCGAGATAATTTTCTGGCTTGCTCTGACTCTCTGATAGTACAAAATCTCAGCCGTTTCAGTCATTTGTGGCTGCTGTCCAGGCATCAGCTGTTTCACTAGTAGAACTCCATGAAAGACGAGTTCTTGAAGTTAGCCAAAAGGCTGTTGTTGTTGTTGTTGTTGTTGTTGTTGTTGTTGTTTCTTCTTCTTCTTCTTCTTCTTCTTCTTCTTCTTCTTCTTCTTCTTCTTCTTCTTCTTCTTCTTCTTCTTCTTCTTCTTCTTCTTCTTCTTCTTCTTCTTCTTCTTCTTCTTCTTCTTCTTCCTCTTCCTCTTCTTCTTCCTCTTCTTCTTGAGAGCAGATTCCACTTGCTCATTCCCTGCATCATCTCACAGCTTCTACCGTTTTTGGCTAACTCTGAAGAAAGGAAGTGGGTGGTAGTAGAAAACAATTTGTATGGTGGATTTTCAGGGCAAAGTAGAGGCTTTGCCAGAAATTGCTGGTTAGGGGAGCAGCACGAAGGAGAAGCTAACTTCAGCTACATCAAGGAGGGCTGTCCCTCTGAGAAAACTCTGAGGCTGTCTCTCTCTGTGTGGGTATGTGTCAGGTATTTACACATAAGTGCTTTCTTTCTCCTTTCTCCTATGGTTATGGGCTGTGAGAGGGTACTTCCAGGTGAGTTTTCTAAATGTTGGGGATGTTTTGAAGTCATTCCAGCTTGGATGAGAGCAGAATCTGAGGCATTAGGCTGCTTTAAGTCACACTCCATAATTGTAATAAATAAGCTTGGTATGTGGTTTTTGCCCTTGCCATAACTTTTTCTCTATGTTAATGTAGAAAATTAAATGTTTCCTGGGGATGGCATTGGTGGCCTCCAACTTTAGATAAATGCTGGTTAGAAATGAAGAATGACCAAGGGTAGAAAACACCTGATGGCCAGAGGACATAGACTGCTGCAGGTCATCACCTGGTTTCTACGGATTTAGCTCTATCTCTTATTCCCTGGTGATATTTGTTGTTAAATGAAGTTCACAATTATACTTCACTTATTTATGATGTTATTGTGAATGAAGAAAATGATATGTGGCACGTATTACTGAAACCTGGATTGCTTGACACAGCTTTGCCCATCTGTATTTTCAGTGTAGCCTTAGCCCAGCAGTGGGACTGTGAGGATGCATTCTCAGTGATCAATAAGAAATACCCACTCATTTGCCAAAAAGCCTTTTCTAATTTGGCTGGTGTTAGATCAAGATGAGGGATATTATTTGGTTGCCTGATATTCTCCTTGGCTGAGGAAGCTAAGCTGGTCTTTGATGCAAAGTTATAGAACTCTACGATGATTTTTTTCCTTCAAACTGGGTCAGCTGCATATTAAGGGAATTCAGACTATCCAACTGGCCAAGACAGATCACTACCTGGAGAATGTAGTCTTAGTGTCATTGCCTCTGTTGCTCTATAGGGTTTGCCTGGGAGGATTTTCCAGAAGCCAAAACTATGTTTCTCTAATGGAAAATAGAACAGACTGTTGACACAATCTTACCATTTTTGGTGCTGTAGAGTCCATGCTTTTTCCTTGTTTTCTGGGGAATTCCAGACAATGAATCATGGCAGCAAACCGCTACAGCAAAAGGAGTGTTAGACCCCCTTGTAGTTGACATGCAGTATAATCCTTTAGAAAATACAATCATGCCTCTTGTAGGTCATGAAGCTTACAAAGAAGGTTTACTTACTCCATTGCATCTCAAGTAATGGCCTATCAGAATGCTTTAGGTTGCAGCTAACAAACTCAATCTGCATAAGGTGTTTTAAGGATAAAATTCTTTACTATCCAACTTGAATGCTATAGATAATGCTGAGCTATTTGGCATAATTTGGTCTAAAAATATGGATCTGCTTTTGATAGTTAAGGCTTGAGGATATGGCAAGATGATTACAGCTCTCTAGCCGATTACATGTTTTCTTGCTCCCTACCCCATTGTGGTTTACTTATGTTATAAAAGGGGAATGATTAAGTGGAACATCCATTCCTGAAGAAAAAGAAGATAACTAAATACAGACAACTTTCGCCAGCTATAGTCATGTTACAAAAATCCATTTACAGGCAAGGTGCTTGAAAAGATATTGCCTGTAAAACTGCTGACATTTTTGGAAGAATCCTATTAACACAGTCCTTTTCAGTCTGGCTTCCAGCCTGATTTGGGAACAAACTCAGCTATGGTCACCCTGTTAAACGACCTCCTGCAGAAAAGACAAAGGGAATATGTTTCACAGCTTAATGAGATGCTAGCAGGGAGTTAAATAGAACTGCTGTAAATCAATTCTCTTACTAGCCATACCAATGGTAAGACGATAGATCAGTCCACAGTCTTTCACTTGTATTATAAGGATGCAGAATTTGAGTTGCCTGTCCACTGTGAGAATTCCAAAGGGTGAGATATAGAATGTGGTCAAACCCATAGGATCAAAGAGTCAAGGGAATAGATAATAGATTCTCAGCACCAAGAATGGGCCACCACCAAATGTTCAAGCAGGACATAAAACTGCTGAGCAGTTTTAAATACACTAGTCCCCTATATTCCTCACCAGATACAGCTGAAGCTCTGCAGCTTTTATTTTGTTAGGTTTTGAGCCTGCAAATCTTCAACTTAATGGTTGTAAGGTGCAAAGGATCAGGATCATACGTTAAATTGCAGCACAAAAGTTTTATTCAAATCTATACTCAAGAATCCAATGAACTAATGGGCAGCATTAAATTGGCGCTATATAAGGGTAACAAAATTCAAGACGAGTGATGTGGATAGTTTGTGGCAATGTAAGGACTCTAAGCTCTAAGGATGTGGTGGCGAATCTATGGCATGTGTGCCACAGTGACACGCAGAGCCCTCTCTGTGGGCATGCATGCCGTCGCCCGAGTCCTAGGTATTCAGCTGGGTTTTATAAAACCTTTTTGCTTTAGGCCTCTGCCACTGTGTGCAAAAAAAAGGTTCAATCAATCAATTTCAACTTCTCACGGGAAAAAAAAGATCTCGTAAAGTTGGAATTGATTGATTGAACTTTTTAATCCCACCCGGCCATGCCCACCCAATGGGCCACGCCCATCCGACACCCAACGATACATAAGTGAGTTTTGGGTTGCAGTTTGGGCACTCAGTCTCTAAAAGGTTTGCTGCTCTAAGGACACATTTAACTCCACCCCCTCCCCCCCAGCTCTGCCTTCTCTTCTCTTATGTGGGTTTTCTTGAGAGGCACTATGTAGAACGAAAGATGATGGAAGCATCATGGCCAAATATCATCCCCTCTCCTCCCCCCTTGATCTACTTTGACTGCCCTTTTAGATTGGATGAGCCAATCTTTTAGAGATGGACTTGGTTATGGGAACATTGAGGAAGAAGAACAAGAACACAGAAAAGTTGGAAAGAAGATGGAAGAAACTGAAAGCTGAAGCCTTAAAGATAATAGGCAGAGCAGAAAAATGGTGGTGACAGAGAAAGCAGCTGTGGAGAGAGGTGAATAGGAGCTGTGGAGAGAGGTGAACAGGAGATTGTTAGTGGTAGCAGAATAAGAATCCCAGAGTGCTGGCTGGAAATTAAGCCCAGTATTCTGGCAGTTACACTGTAGATCAGGGGTGTCAAACTGCCGGCCCATGGGCCAGTTTCATCATACCAAAGCAAAGCGTCCATCCCGTTGCCAGCAATGCAAAAAGAGTTGTGATATGTCGGAACACGTTACGTGATGTGGCGAGTTTGACACCCGTGCTGTAGATGTAGACACCAGCAGGAAACCAAGCCCTCAGTGTTAGCAATTACTCCAAACAACCTAGAGCACAGGCACTAAATTAAGAGCCTGGCCTGGCAAGGAGAGATCTATTCTAGAGCATTAGCATGCCAGCTGACAAAGATTATAACAAACCCTTGAGCACTAGCTGCACTGCAAAAGGTGAAACAGTGTGACAGCTATTCCAAGAAGACCTAGAGCAAGCATGTCAAATTGCTGGCCCACGGGCCAGATGCATCACGCTGAAACCGCGCCCACCCCATTGCCAGCAATGGGGAAAACGTCCCAATACGTCGTACGATGTCATGTGACATCGTGAGTTTGACATGCCTGACCTAGAGTGACAACCCTAGACAAGAGCCTGTGAAATACTACTCTCAGTGCCAGTGAGAGGTCCCAGTGCCAGACTATGCACAAATAGCTGGGAGCAAGATTTAAAATAAGAAATAGACACACAATAAAACAATAAATGAAAAGGAAAATGGATTACATTGCATGACATAGCCTGCAGGATGAAACAGTGTTGACATAGAAAATATAATTATAGAAGATAAATTAAAAGGTAGAAAATTGTGTAAAAACAAATGAGGCTGGAACCTCAGATTTGAATTTAAAAGCGTTATTTGGTGAATATTTGTGTAATAAAAAGACTCTGGTTCCAGGAATTCTCAAATGCTATCTGAATCTGACATTGTTCCCAAACTGAACCCACAACACAGGTCTTTCACAAGGCCAGATCTAGCTTTCTAGCTGTGGTCTTCTAGGTACTCAAAGACTGGGTGGATTTGCTTTTAATTCCAGGTTTAAATCCTCAGTATCAGAATCAAGCACTGTGTATAACATTGGCATCTGGTCTTTGGGAACCAGTATTGGGGCTTGCTATCATCAAAATTCAAATGATGCTATTTAGCCTGCTCCTTTTCTGAGGAAATTGATGTGTTTGGCTGAGCCCTGAAAGTATGCTTCATTGATGCCCTTTGATATCCCCATATCAAAGGGCATCAATGTCATGCATTGAAGGATGAGAACACAGTAGATTGACTCCTATGTGTAGGAACAGTACCAGAATAGTGTTGGATGACCATATTTCTTCTGTGGTTGCTAGAAGACATTACTTTGCCTCCAGTAGTATTTATGAAGCTGCTGAGGATAGTCAGACATGGAAGAGGAAGAAAAAAGAAGAAGGAAGAAAAAGAAAGGAGGAAAGAATCAGAACAGGCATATTGGAAGAAGAAGAAGAAGAAGAAGAAGAAGAAGAAGAAGAAGAAGAAGAAGAAGAAGAAGAAGAAGAAGAAGAAGAAGAAGAAGAAGAAGAAGAAGAAGAAGAAGAAGAAGAAGAAGAAGAAGAAGAAGAAGAAGATGATGATTTTAGATATCTGTTACAGCTATTAACAATAGGATAAGTTTTATGTTTTCCTTGTAAGTAGCTAGCATTGCATTTTATTCTATTTTTATTCTTCTAGTGTGTAATCAGAACAGGCACATAGCATAATAAACAACATATCTACATTGAAATGTTTAATATTAAATCTGCCTGCATTTTGTATGAAGGCACTCTATTTTTTCTTTTTATGGTAGAGTATATGATTTAATATTTTGCAGCAGTAGTAAGTTAAGGAAGATTTGAATGTAATGCCAGATTCCCTAATGTTTACTTTAGAACCACCAGAATTATTAGCTTGGTTTTATAGATGTGCTGTTTTATCTTAATTGACAGAACATTACCATTTCCATTATCGACAGAAAATGTTAATGCCCAACTAAAGACTGTGGTAAGGCCCTTATTGATCAGAACAAATGGCTCAGATTGTGCCCAGCAAACAGAGTCAAAGGCTACTTAACATTCACATTAAAAGGAAAGTCTATGAAAATCTGTGGCTAAGTACAAAGTATTGATTTCCTTTGGTATGTGTTGTTGTTTATTTTTGCAGGTTAAAAGTACTCTTAGAAGAAACAAAAAGTTGGCAAAAGAAACAAAGCAACTGGTTAAACAAGAGGAACTAAAAAGACTTCACAAAGCACAGGTAATTAATTTCTTACTCTACATGTAATGTATTCAACAGTAAAAATGTGGCCAGTTTGCATGCATTGTCTTCTGCCATGTTATTGGGAAACTGCAAAAATATTCCTTTTCATTAATGCTTATGTCCTTATGGAGATGGCTCAGTGAAGCCAAATGTTCCTTCACTGTTCTCTTTACAAGCTATCCGATATGATTTTTATTTATCCTATCCTGAAGACATTTCCAGGTAGGGAACATGACCTCTCTTTGTCATTTCTTCTGACTGTTCCATGTTTAGATTTATTTGATTTTTATCCCACCTTTATTATTGCTTATAAATACCTCAAAGTGGAAAAGATACCTAATATTCCTTCCTCCTCCTATTTTCCTCACAACAATTGTATGAGGTGAGCTAGGCTAAGAGAGCATGGCTGGCCCAAAGTCACCCAGTTTTTCATGTCCGAGGACTAGAACTCACAATCTCTTTGTTCCTAAGCTAGCACTTTAACCACTAAACCAAACTGGCATTCCAGGTTGCCCAGTTCTCTACCTCTGTGCACTATCCATCTTTCCACAGGTCTCAAAATTTTATATTAATTTCCTTTCTTTTTAGTTTTATATATTTTCAATTTTACCTATGTTATTTTTGTTTTTTTGGACTGATGGCTTTATGCCCATCAATTCATTTTACCGACAAAATTTGTGGGCCTTAGAAGCTCTGCAACCAGACTCTTTTTTTATAAGCGTGTGCTATTATTGTGGGTAATCTTAGTGCTTTTTTGGATGGAATAGGTTTTAGCTATTATCACAGTTGCATGACTGCTAAAGAACAATTAGGCACTTTTGTTGGTACTATTGTGGTTCCTGACAATACTTGACAGCAGAAATATATATATATATATATATATATATATATATATATATATATATATATATGTACTTGTATGTGTTTAAATACATTTTTTGGGATAGGGACATAGAAAAACATCCAAAGGGGTATGTTACGTATGCTGAAAGACCTACATTTAGTTCCCAGTATCTCCATGTAACCGTTAGGAAAATAGCAGTATCATTATAATGAGTCACTGTCTAATTGAATAGAGAGCCATGAAGTAGGTATAGGTAGTCCTCAACTTACAACGGTTCATTTAGTGACTGTTCAAAGTTACAACAGGACTGAAAAAGGTGACTTATGACCATTTTTCACACCTACGACCATTGCAGCATCCTCAGAGTCACATGATCAAAATTCAGATCATATTTCTGACAATTGCAGTGTCTGGGGTCATGTGATCACTTTTTGTGACCTTCTGACAAGCAAAGTCAATGGGGAAGTCAGCTTCACTCAACAACTGTAGATTCGCTCACTAACTTAACAACTGCAATGGTTCACTTGACAACTGTAGCAAGCAAGCTTGTAAAATGGGACAAAACTCACTTAACCAACATCTCACTAAGCAACGGAAATTTGGGGCTCAGTTGTGGTTGTAAGTCAAGGACTTTCTCTATATCAAAGTAGCATCTTTGAAGATTTTATTTCTTAGATTTATTTATTCATTTGTCCAGGCTATCCAACGGTTATTGGAAGAAGTGGAAGAGCAACAGAGAGCTCTTGAGGTGTATGGCGTTCAGCTGGAGAGGGAACTACGTGGGGAAGAAGGTAAGAATGGCAGAAAATCTGAGATCTGAAGAACATGCCAGCCCTCCTGAAGCTGTTTGAGAAGTTGTAAGAAAAATTCAGTTGCATTTAACTTTTTATCCTCCTAGAATAGATTGGAATAGAATGGGATACAGGAAATGTTTAGGCTTGTGGGCATTTTTGATTATGTGAGAACTTTCCCCCTTGGTATCGTATGATGATTGTTGGGGACGGCGTGGCTAATCTTGAGACGTACAGGACAATGTTCAACCACCTAATAGAAGTGAACAGCTGGAGCAGAGAGCAGTTTAGTTAGTGTTTGAGAGGCCACAAGAAAATTCCAGCTTGTAGGCTAGACTGGGGAATTGAAAGAAAATGACAATTACCTTCTATATAGTTGCCAAGATATCAACACAGATATGTCCAGGAAGTCATCCAGAATCAAGCTCAATTATCAACATGTTTATTTAGTTATAAATTTAAAGCTGCCCAGAGTCACCTTATAAGTGAGATGGGTAGCACAAATATTATTAAATAAACAAACAAGCAAATTTGTGAATCCCAGTATTTCCCCCCCCACACACACAAATGAAGGAAGGAAAACAGGTCATTATTTAATACTGAAACAAACAGATACTGAAAAGGAAAAAGATTTTTTTGCTACATCTCAGAATAGTGTTACTAAAGATTAATAAAGGAGATTTACAGATTACTTGGTCCAGAAGTGACTGTAAATCTGTATTCTTATGGGCTATCTTAGCATATCCCATGTAACTACACATTTCTACTAGAAGAGGCAAGATTTAAAAGAGGGTAGAATTCTAGCACTTTATACTTGTGATCAATCAATCAATTCAATTTATTGCGGTCAAAAACCAGTACATGTTATACTTGTGTAACAAAAAGAATAAGAGAAAGGTGAAGGAACTCTTCTCTTTTCCATTCAGTCACTCTCTCCCTCTTTCACTTTTATTACTTTCGTATCCACCCTTTCTAAGAAGACACTTTTCAGTGACATCAACACTGCATTATAGAAAGACTGGGAGGAGGAGGGGGTGAGGAGGAAGAGGGGCTCTGAGTAGGCACTGGAGACTATTTGCTTACCGCAGGGATCCCCAAATTTGAAAGCTTTAAGATTTGTGGACTTCAACTCCCAGAATTCCCCAGCCAGCCATTCTGGCTGGGGAATTCTGGGAATTGAAGTCCACAATTTTAAAAGTTGCCAAGGTTGGGAACCCCTGACTTAGCGGACAATGCAGATTGAGATGCAGTCCTGGAGGTATTCTGGTGTCTTTGGGCATCACTGTGGGCACCAGCACATCTAAAGCATAGGCAATTTGAAGATGCCATAGGTAGGGCCGAATATGTTTTCTAGCAACTTTAGCGCTGATGCACATGATAGCACAGCAATGATACTCTTTTTAAAAAAAAAAAACAGCTGGAAGAGCAAACAGTTATTTAATTGCTCCAAAGTATGCCAAATTATTTTTCAGCCCACAGCAGGTGGTACCTTTTAAAAACCATCATGCATTTTGTTTTGTGAGAGAGACTTTAGATTTGCCTTGTGCTCAGCATAAATTTCTTGCTGTGAGCTGGCCTCATTCTATGCTTCCCCCGCAAGAAGGCTGGTTGCTTGCTCCGAGTACCATGTTGGAGATGGAATAGTGCTGATCTTTCCAGTTCATACGCAACCTTGGAAACTACACATCGGAGGGTGCTTGATCATCTCCATTCTCTCTGATCTGGAATCTCACTTCTCCATCTGCGCTAACTCAGTGGTAGTAACAGTTTCTTATAAAAGGGGCCCAAAGGAAACAGACTATAGCAAATGATACTGATACGAGGACACTGATGTTAAAAAAAATATCTCCCACAAGAGTCTTTATCAAAAGCATCTCTACCTAGCACAACATAAAGCAAAACAAGGCTTCTCATATGGATGGAACAAATGGGTTAAGCTGCCCCGAAGTCTTAAAAACTGAATATTTGTGGCATTCAACAATGTACAGACTTTTAGTTAGATCTGCTAAGTTGTTATGCCATTATTTACTTGGCATGACTTGGGAGATGGAAGATTTCTGCTCCATTCGCTGTTGTTAGTAATTTAATTCCTTTTATTAGGGTAGGTTTTTTTCTGTTCTCTATAGATTGATCGATAGAAGCTGGTGTTCTTAAAGAGGGAGTGATTATTTCTCATTTGTCAACCTTACATGTAGATTTGGCAAACAACCTTCGAAAATTATTAATTTGGGGAAGTTGCTTATAACGATGTTTATGTTGTTAATGTATGGTTACAGCTCTTACAGTTCCATTCATTCAGCCTTTAGAAATATAGTACTTTATTGCTTAATAAATAACCAGGTCTTATTGGATTAAGCTGTATTTAGGCAGGGCTGTGCTTATGGAGTTCAAGTGATTTAATAGGTGTTATTATGGTAATTAGAAAATCATCACAGTTAAGCAATATTATTGAGCTGCAAAGGTTCTTAATAACCAAATTTAGAGACAGGCCTGCAAACAATAGTCTTCCATGACATTAATGCAACTCCCCTCTAATAATTGTGTGAGAGTGAAATGAAAGGCTCTTTTGTTAGAGGGAATTACTCATTAGCTACTGGACTGAATAAGAGTGTATGGGGCTGAAATAAAGTGCTCTAAAGGCGCTGAGTAAAATGTGACTAAGAGGATCACAACTGGAGCAACAACCACGTATGCATTAGAAAAACCTCAAATAATCTTAGCCATAACATTAATTAGTTATTCCTGGGGCATAGACAAGGTTAATTGTGATCAGTCTTTCCTCTTTTTCTTTTACAGTTCAGAGCATCTTCTGGGGCAGCCTCACATTTAGGCACTGATTTTAATTCTGTGTAGCTTAATTTTAGTACAGCTAGAACATCAGCTGAATTCTGAAATCACTGTATTCCTAAAGCTTTTCTATACAGGTTCATATTCCACCACTAGCAATGGGATATCAAAAGAGAAATACTGGCTATTTCGCTTTACTGTGTTCCCCATCTCTACTTTGTGTGAGTGCTACTGAAAGTACAGATTTTTATAATGTGATATATCAGTACATGGTTGTATTTTGGGTGTAATGTACATCTCAAATTGGAAGTGTCCCAGACTGAGGTGGGCCCCTGTGAGAAACCATTGCAATTTAGAACAATGCAAGGTCTGGTTGTGTGAACAACTAAGCACGTATAACATGTTCCAGAGAAAGAGATAATCTTTGAAATACAGATGTTGGAAACAAACAGTAGGAATACCCTCTGCCTTCTTGCTACACTTGAGAGTTTCTCGAAAATCTGATTTGAAAAGTCTTGGAAACTGTTTGATGGAAAAAACATTTTAAATAAGTGAGAGTATGGGCTTATATACTGTATATATATGCTTGCTGGATATGAATATACAATATTATCCTCAACTTGTCTCTGCCTTACAGCCCCCCACCCCACCCCCACCCGTTTCACTTCAAAAGTAACAGGTTTTGCCTTTTCAGCACAAGGTATGCTAGGTGGTCAGTGTGTGTCAAATTGTTTCCCCTGTCACACGGCAGAAAAATGGGAAATACCTGCAGACAAGAATAGTGATGCCATTTGTCTAATTTCTTATGAGTTTCTCCCATACTTGGGAGAGGTCAATGCTTTTCTTACCACTGGTGGCAGGAGAAGTGAAGGGAGAGGAGGAGGAGACCAGCTCCGTTGGTGTCAGTTCTCCAATCCCATAGAGACATGGTCACAACTGGTCCTAAAGAAAACATTCTTCACTAGAGCTCTCAATTCTCCCTCTTTTCCGGTGTAGACAAGACCTCTATTCTGCTTCATTGCTGGAAATGAGATCAGCCCCTTGTTAAGCCAGCAATGTTTTCTGCTGGCTCCCATGCTGGATAACAGCACTTGCATGCTGCTACTGTATGTGGAACAACCCTGTGAGGTCAAAAATGGAATTTAACTTTTTAATAATATGTCTTCTAGCCTTTAGTTCAGCAAATTTTGATTGTAATATTTGAAAATGCTTAGAAAATGCCACTGGAGTATTTTGGAAGAAGACATTTCCAACTACTTATTTATATTTGATGCAATTTTTGGGATAGGGGGAAAAACTAATTCTGCCATTTTTAAAATTTCTTAAACAGATTCAAGCACACAAGATGAATCTGAATTGTTACATGAATGGTTTGAACTAGTACTGGAGAAGAACAGATTAATGCGCTATGAAGCTGAACTCTTGATCATGTAAGTCAGAATTGGCAGTTTGCATCAATGGTGAAAATATATGTACTGTTATATATGTATTTATGGATGTCAGAAGATTTTCTTTCCATCATGCATATGTTCCTTACTGAACTAAACTGCTGTGTTACCCCTTGCATATGTATTTTTATTTTGGTTTGAAGTTAGATGGTTCTTCCTTTTTATACTATCCTTACTGAAAGGCTTTGATGGAATATCTTCTAAGGATACTTTCATGCTGATTTGAAATCTAAGGAAGGAAGGGAAGGGAAGGAAGGAAGAAAGGAAGGAAAGCCTTTTATATTTTTTTTTTACCTTTGAATTGAGATAAAACAATCATAGTCAATCCTAATTTTAAACCATTTGAACAACATATTTAATATTATGATACATGAGTTGTACAATATATTTCCTGCTTTGTTTCCTGATACTACCATATTTTTCCTTTAATATCTAATTTCTTATTATATTTGTTGCATTTATAAGACCATTCAGCCCTAATAATGTGGGTGGCATACAACAAATTTGTGAACAATCATCCTAAAAAAGAAACACCTACATCATTAAAACACTCCAATGTATAAAATAGTGACCCAAACTTAATAATTAAACAACTAAAAGACTCCACTCATCTGAACTCCAATATTTGGCTAAAAAGCTAGGTTTCAGTGGCTTTTCTCAAGGCAAGGAGAACAAGGGCTGTCATATACAGACAGTCCTTGATTTATGATCACAGCTGGGACCAGAATTTCCACAGATAAGCAAGGAGGTGGTTAAGTGAGTCATGCCTGATTTTACGACCTTGGTTTTTAAGCAAATCATTGAGTTCTTAATGTAAGCAAATATGGCTTCCCCTGTTGACCTTGCTCATTAGAAACTTGCTGGGAAGATTGAAAATTGCAGTCACATGGCCCCAGGATGCTGGTTGCCAAGTGGCTGAATTTTGATCACAAGACCATGGGTATGCTGCAACAATTGTTAAGTGTGAGGACCACTTGTAAGAAACTTTTTCAGTGCCATTGTAACTTTGAATGGTTGCTAAACAAATAGTTGTAAGTTGAGGTCTACCTATATCAGAGGGAAGAATCTTTCCAGAGGACATTATCCAATGCCTCAAGCTAGTTTTTGATAGCATTTTGTGTGTGTGTGTGTGACTTCTATGCTCATCAAGAAAAGCATGTTTCAATCTTGGAGACTGTTTTCAAAATTGGCCAAGTTAATGGATGTGTGGGTTGAAAATGATGATAGAAATGGAAATAAACTTGAACACATTTTATTGCATTGCTGGAAAAAAAAAGGATCTTGATCAACTTTGTGTAGAATGATAAAAGTTATCAAAGGATCAATCCTCTTATTGGGACCTTTTTCTTGTTCCAGAGCCAAAGATATAGAACTGGAAGATCATCAGAATGACCGGAGGAGAACTGAGATAGAAAATGAACTATTTATGATAAAGTAGAGGTTTAAGGTATTGGTATAAGGTTTATTTAGTATACAAAATCAATATATGTCACCTGAAAATGTGTACAGTTAGTGCTCATTTTCCAAACACATTGAGACTGGTAACTCTATCGCCAAGCAACACAGTTGTAAGGGGAAAAATCACTCCTTACTTACTAGTTTTTTCATTTCCAACTGTGGTTGTTAAGTGAATTACCATGGGTCATTAAGTGCAACATTACATTACTGTGACTTGCAACTTCCTGTCAGATTCCCCATTGACTTTACTTGTGGGAAGCTGGCTATGAAAGTCTCAGATGACAATTGTATGACTGCGAGATGCTGTAACTGTCGTAAATATGTGCTGGTTGCCAAGCACTTGAATTGTGATCGTGTGACCATGGGATTTGAGGTTTGATTATAAGTTTCCTTGTTCAGTGCTGTCATCACTCTGAATAGTAACTGAATGAATGGCCAATAAGTAAGGACATTACTACAAGCAAACTTGTATGACTTGTAAGTGTGAGGATATTGAATTTGCTGAAGTGACCTGTTATAATTCCTTTACATAGTAGGAATGGATTATTTTGACATTTTAAGATGGCCAAAATCACCCTCTAGTAAGATGGGTGGCAAACAAATTTCATAAAATAAAATAAATATTATATATTGTTTCTTATGTGGTCAAGAATGAATGTAGTAATACGAAAGTGAGAAATTGGTATGAACAAAGTTGAGATGTTCCTGTTGGAACTATGAGCTGATTCTTGAAGGAAATGTATAAAGGCAGCTTCTTGTATATTGCTCATTTAGCAAGTTTGTGTATAAACCCGATTGGATAGTATCCCTGATGGGGTAGAAAAGTCAACATGTACAGCAATACAGATGGGCAACCTGTTCACAAATGCTTGGTGAGCATTTATATATACCATGTCTGATAGCATTCATGGACATAACAGCATAATAACTAGACGGAACTGGTTCCGATTCAGGCTTCCCCACTTTTGTCACACAACACCAAATATAATGAATACAGTATGCTCTTTAATGCAATAGAAAAATGGTATTAACTTTTACTTTTTGTATTCATAACAGGGCCTAATTGATGAGTAAGGAACATGAGAAAAGAAACAGAAGAATGCTAACAGTATTTTCTGGAAGGAACAGGAAGTTTCAATAAGCCAAAGAACTATATTTTGATAAGTTTATACTGCTTGACAAATATAAATACAGAAGGATGCATACAGTCCTCAGAAAACACTTGTCCTTCCAGTGTAGTAAACACCATTAATGCATTATTACAATGTATGCTGTCCAGTCACTTGTGGAGATGGGGTTGGGGCTTATAGAAATCAAATAAATTGGGATCAAAATCTTATTTGCACAGTGCAACTGTAGGAGAAAGGAATAATGTTTCAATTGGTAATATAAAAATAGCATTGGCCTTTGTGGAAATAGAATGACTGAATTTTAATAGGGCCTTATCTAATACAGTTCCATTGAGGAAGTAATACTAGAATGGTCTTTGTGTTCTACTTCCTGGATTTTTAATTCTGAGAATACTTGAGAGTTACAAAACTGCAACACTGTTTTAGTTGTCATTAAAAGTAGGGTCTAAGGATCCTTAGATCCATGTTTCTCATTTGTAAACATATCTTGTTGATGAAAGTGATTGGAATAAGTACCACTACATACCTCTTAGCATTTTACATTAATTCTTGAGTTGGAGGATGGTATCCTTGTGATTAGAATGCCATTGTAACCATGAACAGTTACAATTAATTAGAAATTATACTCTATATGTATATTGTAAATAAATAACAGTGTGCTGTTAAGCAAATGCAAGTTATAAGATGTGTTTACAAATTAAAAGTCACTATACATATTAAATCTTTAAAACTATGATAAATAGTTGTACTTTGTACATTGTAATTTAATATATAAGCATTTATTCTGAACAAGATGTAAAGAGATTAAGTAGGCTATTTGTACTGAAACAAATAATAAAACAATTGGTTTACTCTAAATGTTATTTTTGTACTTTGTTTTTTGAAACTTGCATGATAGGTGTAAGACAATACAGTAGTTGTTTCTGAACATCTTTATTTAGTATTCCAAATAGATTTTTTTTTTTTTAAAAAAACTGTTTTATGTAAAATATGCATAAAAGACTAACAGGATGGAACAGTTCAGGAAGAACCATGAATTAGATACATCTGGGAAAAATGTCATTCCTTCAAGTAACTTATGATGACCAGCATGTTATTGAAACCAAAGTGATTTGAACTTGCTAGATTCAAGCCTAAACCCAACTCTCCTCATTCAGACCTTCAGATACCAGGAAAGGACCTCCACAGTATTTCTTCTTCAGCCAGGGACTGAAATCTAAAGCTGGGTACTATAATATCAACATATAGCTATGATATCGGACCACATTTATGACCTTTTCCAGTGGTCTCATGTAAATGTTGAATACAATTCATCATTTTATTGGGCTGATTTCTCCCACCTGCCGACATCTTGGAAATGGCCCAGTTGCTTAATACCAGCGGGCAGAAATACAGACTGTGCCATGTGAAGCAGATCCTCCTAAGCAGGAAGAGTAATCCCCAGCTTTGTGTTCCGTTACTTCCTCGCTAGCTCGCTTAGCCTTCAAAATCATTGCATTAAACATCTCTTTCCAGCCCCTTTCAACACTCCTCTAACGCTAAATTGAATTCTTACTCGGCTGCATGTAATCCTCAAGAACCGGCGGTGGCACATCTGTATCTTCTCCCGATCCAGCCTTCCCCCCCTCCCGAGGGGTGTGTGTGTTAAAATGAGCCGTGGAGTGGAAAGAGGCGATACAGCTTATTGAACGGAACAAAGGCTTACTTTTGACGTTTAGAGAGTACAGAAGCAGTTTGCATAACTGCAACTGGGCTAGGAAATGACGTCGCGGGAAATGTTTTCTGGGAGCACAAGCTATGCTACCTTTTGAAATTGCCCCGGCCAATAATGCAGGTATGGTGAATGAATCTGCCCTGGGGAGCAGATTGCGTGGGACCTCTCTCCCTTGTAAGCTCTAAAGTGCAACTAAAGGCACGAGTTTGCTTATGCAGACTGGAGACTCGCAGGGTCTTCCCCAAACTCTCCCTTGCAAGTGAAACGTTAGCTAGGCGTGGAGTTGAAAACTTAAGATTCAACTCCGCAGACGTTCCTGTCAAGTAACCGTATGTAGGATCGGGCTGCAGACCTATGCCTTAGCAGGCAGGGGACACCGGGACGCTTTCCCCGTATGTTTGCATAAGATCCAGGCCGCAGCATCTTTCCAAGAGGGTCCGTCTATCTGCGGATCCGCCGAAGATGCAGAGCAATTCGTGGGCCAAACCCGCAAGCTCTGCGGCCGGAGGAAGAGAGCGGCGGTGGCGGCTGCTCTCCACGGAGCCGAGCAGACTCGGCGCGCGTTTGCCAGAGGGAGAAAAACTCCTTCCCTGGGTGTGCGCGGGAGGGAGGGAAGGAGGACCGAGGGCGGGAGGGAAGGAGCAAGACCCAGAACAGCCTCAGATGCTTGGAATAATTCCGCTTCCGTTGGGAATAGGGACGAGCCGCTGGTCGCTGAGTCGAGCGAAGCCTCTCCGCTTTCGCTTCCCCAACCAGGCTCGGGCGCCGTTTCGTGGGAGCCACCGCCATGGCGACCTCTCCTCAGAAATCGCCGTCTTCCCCCAAGTCTCCGACCCCCAAATCGCCCCCTTCTCGGAAGAAAGATGACTCCTTCCTCGGAAAGCTCGGAGGCACCCTGGCCAGGAGGAAAAAAGCCAAAGAAGGTAACCGAATTGAGCGCCAAAGCTCCGCAGCGCGCGGCGCCTTTAATGGGGCGAGGGGAGGGGCGAGAGATGAGTGGGGGGGGGAGTGTGAAAGAGGAGGCAAAGGTGGCCCCGCGCTGCCTTCCAACCCGGACCCGCGGGGCTTGGAGAGGCGCCTGGCGGGGCCGCCGGGCTGGGTGCGCCGCTGCGAGGAACGCGCGTCATGCTGGAAAAATGTTGTCCCCTGAAGCACTGCTGGGGAGTTGACGATGATGGGCTCTTCCGGCAATTCCTTTTGCTTTCTTGCACGGAGAAGTTTGACGTCGTGACGTGCAAAGTTCTCCCTCCCCTCCCCCCCCCCAAGCGCTGGCATAAAGTCCTGAGAGTGGCGGCAAGCTTTAGCGCTGGCTGGCTAGCTTAGCTGGCTTGGCAAGGTTGTTTTCGCCCGCCTGGGAGCTCGCAGGCCCTGTGGAAAGGGCCTGAGTGAGACGTCACCGTCCGTGGCTTACCGGAAGGGGTTTATTTCTCGGAATGCGGGGCTCGAAAGCGTGTGCCCGGTCGCGGGGAAGAGGAGGTTGGCAGCAGCGCGGCTCTCCGCTGCCCCGCACCCAGCTGGGCGCTGCCAAGTCAAAAGGCTTTGTGTCTTTTCTGCTCATGGTTTCTTGTTCTTTTGGTTGGAAAAAACTCCAGTCAGAAGAAGTTGATGGAAGAGGAGAAAGGGTTTCAGGCGGGACATCATCTGGGTCAAGATTATTATGGGGGGAGGGGGAATAATCTTCATTGAGAGCTCCCCATAACTTGAAAAGTGGGGAAAAAAAGGAAGATATTGTATGTTTAAAATTGAAATGCTCAACCCAGGTGTCTAGGTTTGCAAGACACATAGTCCTATTAGTAAACTGCATGGATTTTGAGTATGGTTTATTGAATAAACTACAGTTAAGAGAGTTCACATTATGAAGAAATAAACCATGATGTAAAAATCACAGTGTCTGGATTTGTGGAGTATGCAGTGATTTGTTTGACTTTGATTCATACTCTGTTCAGAGTTATACTAGTGAATTGCTTCTACAAAGATGCTCAGGTATTTGATCTGGGTGTTCACATCAGCTCATAGCATTGCAGCATTCCTCATCAATATTTGTACTGTATCAACATGTATATACTTTATTAAAATCAGAGTCCTCTAACAATTTCTTGTTTTTACACGATATAGTAAAGCAGGTCAATGGTAGGTCCAGTATGTTGTCTGAATGCAAAATCCTGGTAATTCTGATTTAAGTACCCAGAATCACCCATGATCCACTCTGGATCTGAAAGGCTAATTTCACAGTTACTCTGTCTTCTACTCTGAGATAGAAATGAAATCTATAGAAATTCCAAGTACAGCTGTTCCAGTTATGTCATCTTTGTTTTTCCCCCAAAATGATTTTATTAAGAATTACAGTTATGCAAATCAAAACTAGTACAAGCCACAAACAATAAAAAGTGTAGAAAAGAATACACACACATACACATAGAAGTATAAAAAGGAAAAAATATAGCAAAGGAAGTATAAAGAAGTTATTTTCCTCTGTGTCACAACAAGTATAAACAATTTTAACAACGTACCTTAAAACCTCATTGTTCAATCTTGTTCAAAAGTCCATTAAGGATTGCCAGGAATAACATCTTTTTTCACCTTGGTCAAATAAAACAACTTTATATTCCTTCCCTTTACTTTTAACTATCTTGATCTTTATTTTCTTCAAATAATGTCCTAGAACGTGGTGTCTTTTTTTTTCTCACCAAGTATTTCAATACTTTAACAGGTCTGCTTTGTAAATACAATAGAGGAAAAAATATCTAAGTCACTCTTACTATTTATTACATAATAATCACTTATTATCTATTATCACATTTGTCTCTTTTTTAGTTATTAAAACATCAGCTGGTTTCATTTGTATATCTAGTATATCATTTTTCCCATCTTTTTGGAACCTGTCATTTTAAAATCTAAGTTGAAATCAATTTAAGTTTTGTCCAGTAAAACTTGTTCCTTTTCCATGACATCACAAACACACGCATACACACACACACACACACACACACACAGAGAGAGAGAGAGAGAGAGAGAGAGAGAGAGAGAGAGAGATGACTGTGGACATAGATGGAATCTCTTCACTCCCAGCCACTCCACTCATAGCCAACTGCAAAAATTCCTGTTCCTGCAGTCTACTCATGGGTAGCAGCTGTCTGCTGACCAGGCTCCAGCCACTGGCCACCAATTTTGACCAGTGGATGCTGTCCCTGTTCCTTTAGGGACTTCTAGCTCACCATGTCCTGAGTGAAAGTCGTGTGATTTTTTGTTCTGAAGCAGGATTATAGAAGGCAAAATCCAACATTTGGAGGGTTGCAAATTGCTTTCCCCCTTAGTAACATATCCACAAAGGTATTGGCAGGCAGCCTAAAATAGCTTGTTGGCTTCAGCAAATTCGGGCAATACAATCAAAGATAATAGGAATTCAAATCCAACAACATCTAGAGAACCGCAGATGATTCTTTCTGTAAAGTTTTTAAACTGAATGGTAAGCAAATAAGTAAGTTGTAAAAAGCGCCAATCTGAAAATTACCTTTTAGTTCTGTTTTTTTTCTTCAGATCTGGGATCTAGGGAACATTCATACTGCAGTAACTGATTATACATGCTGTAATCCCTCCATTTCAGTTGAAGTGGTTTTCAAATTATATTGGAAACAAATGATTTCCTAAAAGACCTTCTTTGGGGTAGATCAATAATCACAGACAAGACGCTTTTGACAGCCTGCTTCTAAAATGGGCACTTGCAGAGGAATACTTACTACATTCTAGGGTTCCGTTTTTGAATATCTGTGATAGACTGTTTTGTGATTGGAATTTATATGTGTTTAGAGAACACATTTAATATTTTGGTGCATAAAAACCATCTGATCCATTTTGAGGATCAAGAGCTTTGTATATTCCCAGTCTGCTCCAGGAAGCCTTGGAGGTAATCAGAAGTAGTTAATACTTTTCCCTTTTATATTAAAATGAAAACAAATTTCTGGGTATGTTAAATTATCCTGGAACAATTAAGTGGGCCATATATTGCAGAAGTCTGTAGGAGTTTTTAAGCTACTCTCCTTTGAAATTGAATTGTTCAAAGGGCTTGTAAATATTTTCCCCACCAAAATAGGATGAAATTTTGCAGGTCTGTCTATAATTGCGTCTACTTTTCCTGTTAATCCAGAAGGAAAGGCATGCTTTGGTTGCATCTAATAGGGAGGGTCATCTGGCAGTACCCAGGAAAAGAGCTTATTATGTTGTGACACCTCTGTCTGGAAGATCATTGCCCTGGAAATTAGATTTGCCTCAGTCCTTTTGGATTTCTATAAACATGGTTTTGTTGCTAAGCCTAGGGCTCTGACAAAGTAGTTGAATCTGTATCATGGTTATGTTAATTGTATTGGTTGCTGTATATGTTAAGTTTTAATCTTGTTTTTATTCATTGTTAGATATCATGTATTTGAGATGGGCAACTGTATAAATTGAATGAATAAATGGATGCTAGACAGTTCTGAATAGTATTCATAGGAATTGGATCAGAGGCTTACATTGAATGTAAGAAAGAAAGAAAGAAAGAAAGAAAGAAAGAAAGAAAGAAAGAAAGAAAGAAAGAAATGCAGCTGATTGAGCTTTACAGTATGTGCTCCAGAGACAGAGCTCTAGATAAATGTAATAAACCGGATCTTCATAGAAACTTTAGATCTGGAATGAAAGACTTAGATCCATCTGGTCAAAGAGCAGGTGGCAGCTGTGGTCAAGATCTTTGCACAGGTACATATGATGCACCAATTGAACCCATTCCTAGAATAAGATATCCTTCAGATACCCTATGATACCCTTAAGATACCCTATTCATACCCTAATAACCTCGCAAATGGATTACTTCAGTGAACTCTATATGGGGATGTCTTCAGAGACCATTTGGAAGTTATAGCTGGTCCAGAGTGCAACAACATAGATAGTGGTGGGCATGCCTTCTTATATCCATGTGACACCACTGCTTCACAAGCTGCAGTGGTTGCCAGCTGGCTTCTATTGGTTATGACCCAGAAAGCCCTTCATGGCATAAGAACATGGTTATTTGAGGGACCAGCTATTTGTCCTCTCAGTAAGATTAGACTATAGCATTCCAATTCCCTTCAGTTAAGCAGCATCACTTATTTGGACATGGGAAGTATACTTTCTCTGTTTTGGCACCTGGCCTCTGGAACAGTATCCCTCTAGTTGTTCTGGATTCTCTGAAAACCTGGATTCCGCTCCATGGCTGGGGTCAAGGTGGTTGTCAAACTCTGTTAGCTTTTTTCCCCTGGTGTATTGGAATATTTTCTTTTTCCAGATGTACATTTCCCCCCTTCATTTGATTGTTTCTTACTTTTCACAGGTAAGTCACGCAGGGTCATCTAAATCCAATAAAATACTAATAAATAATTAAATCGGTTCTGTCTTGGGTAAATTGGAAATATGATCTGACTTACTGCAGTCCCATTCTAAAGGATCTAATGCATATAGTTTATATAACTGCATACAGATTATTGTGCCCTGTGTTAATAATGTATGCTTGCTTGTAAAGTGGTACGACTGTTTGACCAGTGACTGATTAGAATCAGCCCTGTACTAAATGAGAGAAGTCTATGTTAGAAGCAGCTATCAAGCTGTTTAAAGCAACATCTGAGAGGGGAATAGGATTAACCTAAACTGTAATGTGGGGCACATCTAATATATAAAAAGAAAACAGGTAATTCTTGACTTACAACCATTTGTTTAGCCACCATTCAAAGTTACAATGACACTGAAAAAAATGACTTATAACTGGTCCTCACACTTATGACCTTGATTGCAGCATCACATGATCAAAATTTGGACATTTGGCAATTGGCATATTTACAATGGCTGGAGTATCCCAGACGATTTCTGACAAGTGAAGTCAATGGGGGAAACTGGATTTGTTCAAGGACCACAACAT